GAATGAAAAATGGAGGAAAAATGAGCCAAGTCTTGTTCTTAAAGGGCCACACTGCCCAGCCACGATTTTTGCTTCTACGATCCAACAACCCTCCTGCGGCTCCGCACCTGCAGCAATTCCATCGCAGGTGCGGTTCAAGCTCGACCCAATTTCCCCCATATATGCGCCTCATGCAGCGCACCTGCGCGCGCACTTGTACGTTTGTGCCCGCTTCTACGGCCCTAGGCCCTTTGGCCAACCTCCGCTTCTGCGCTTGCCTTGCCGCTTCCGCGGCGTCACACCTGCGGCCCTTTTTTTGCAGGTGCAATTACACCAAAACTCAGGCCCTTCAGCAATATAACAAAACTCCACGTTGATCCGTTGACCATACGAAATCTACCCGAGGCCCTCGGAACCTCAACCAAATATACCAACATGTCCCAAAACACGTCGAGGTCTCAAATCACGCCAAACAACATCGAAACTACAGATCACCCTCCAATTCATACTTAATGAACTTTGAAATTCCAAACTTCTATAATCCATGCTGAAACCTATCAAATCACGTCTGATTGACCTCAAATTTTGCACACAAGTCATAATTGACATTACAGACCTACTCCAACTTCCGGATTTGGAATCCGACTCCGATATTAAAAAGTCCACTCCCGGTCAAACTTCCCAAAAATCTTCAAATTCCAACTTTTGCCAAATGACCTCAAAATGACCTACGGACCTCCAAATCCACATCCGGATGCGGTCCCAATAACAAAATCTCCATACGGAGCTATTCCCAGACTCGAAATCCCAAACGGACATTGATAACATTGAAATGGACTTTAGCTCAAATCTATGAAATTCTTCCAATATGCCAACTTCCATAATAGGCGCCGAAATGCTCCCGGGTCATCCAAAAACTGCTCCGGGCATACGCCCAAGTCAAAAATTATCATACGAACCTGTTGGAACCTTCAAATCCCAATTCTGAGGTCGTTTACTTAAAAATTATACTTTATTCAATTCCTTCAACTTAAGGCTTCCGAAATTAGAATTTTCTTTCCAAATCAACTCTGAGCTTCCCGAAATTAAATTCCGACCACACGTACATGTCGTAATACCCGAAGTGAAGCTACTCATGGTCTCAAACCGCCGAATAATGTGCTAGAGCTCAAAACGACCGGTCAGGTCGTTACACATGAAATAAGAGGAGATGTACTCCATTAATCAAACACTGAGAAGATTTCATTAACAACTTCCATTCATTCCATTAGCAACTTCGTTCATAATGTCCAAAGTATTACAAGTTTATAGATATAATAAAAAATATATTTGCCAAATAGCAACAATTTTAGTTCAGTTCCCAACATCATACACCACCCACAATTTGTCTACGGGGCCTCTATGTATGACAGAAGAATAGTATGGAAGTGCCGGCAATAAGGCCCCAACTATATCTCAAGACACAAAGTGTAACATCAAGTGACATCGGGACCGGAATAGAGTAGGGCTCACCAAAACCTGCTGAATAGGGAGTAACTAGTAACGAGGACCAAAGCCGCACCGCTGATGAACCACCTGCATCCATTGAAGATGCAGCGCCCCCGACAAAAGGGACGTTAGTACATATGGAATAGTACTAGTATGTAAAGCTAATTGTCCTCTTTCAAAATAGAATACCAATGTAAGAAAGGGAAAACCATTGAAACAACAATCAACAATCAATGATCTTCAAATGCCAATTTAAAACATAATAATTTCCAAAATATGAAGATAACACTGTGAAGTGGTAATCAAAATATGATGATAATATTATTTTTGGTTGGGAGATCTTTAGTACCGATATACCAATGTTCACAATATCACCGTTCACAATACCAATATTCACAATACCAATAATCACAATACCAATGTTCACAATACCAATATTCACAATACCAATACCACCGTACTTTTAGCATAGAGTCCGATAACGACCCATCGGCTAAGCTATCTCATTAGAGAAATCAACCACAATTACTATCAATACCAATACCACCGTAATTTTAGCACTGAGTCCGATCACGACCCGATCGGCTAGGCTATCTTATTTGAAGACATCAACCAAAATCTCAATTTCAATTATAATTTTCAGCACAATCACCACCATGTGTGCGGCATGGTATCCGATCACGACCCGATCGGCTAGGTTATCTTATTCGAGACATCAACTATTTTATATCAATCAATCTCATCCCAATTAAGAGGAATAATTTTATCACATCAATCTCATACCAAATAAGGGAAATAATTCACAAAAATAACATAGGTGCAAATGTATTTATCATCTTTTACATTGTATAAATCTCCACTAGTATTTTCAACCAATAACAACACTAATATTTTCCTGGCTCTTTTGGCCATTCACAAGATTCTTTATTCAAGACACGGTGGCCATATTTGATATTCCACACTTTCATTTCTTCCCTCTCAGGTATCATCATCATAAATATCAACATACATATAATATCCCGGAAATCACAACTTTAAGTTCATTAGAAATGAACAACTTAAGCACAATAGATTTCTTTCTGATAAATGAAGTAAAATAATTGACAATTGATGTGCAAGTTAAAAATCATCAACAAATAACACACCATTTATTCTTGGCATATTTTTCCCCACAAAGGGCAATACATAATTTTCACTCATGAATATGTAAGAATGCAAAACACATTGAGAATACTCACAAATCATAACGTTTGTTAAAACAACCACATATGAGCATGACTTGAGTTTATAAGCTTTTAGGCAATTCTATTTTCGAAGTCAATTCAGAATAGTTGAATCAAGGCTCATTTCATAACCTTTGTCACATCATTTTATTTTATTGGCACCATTGGCCACAAGTATAACTTTCACTTGTATCAATCATTGTATTTCATACTTCTTTCATATCTTTTAATTCCATTAGCACCATTGGCCATAAGTATAACTTTCACTCTTGCACATTGGCCACACTTTATATCCCAATTCACTTATTTCACTTCCAACCATCTTTATAGGTTATCGACAGTAAGACATTTCCAATCAAGACTTAAGACATTTCCAATCAAGACTTTAGGTACACATATGAGCAATTAAGAGTCTTAATCATATTGAGTTTTCTCACACAATTTGGAATCATAACCTTCATTTGAAACACAACTCAAAGACATAGCATTTTAATACACATATCATTCTTGAACACACTTCCAAAGGATAACATAATGTGTTAGAAACATTCGGAACACGTTTTGAATACTTAATTCTCGACACTTTGCTTATTCGGGACAATAGAATTTATTGCGAACAACTCGGAACATAGAATAAGGAACTTGAGACAACCATACTGGAAACTTATGAGAACATCATTGAATTCAATTCTAAGAGAGTAGTTTAGCCAACATATCTTGCTTTGAGCTTTCCTTAAATTACTACAACATTTCGAAAATTCTAGAAATCCCAATCTATTTTGAGACATAACAAAATTGAACCATTATTAGGAAGATATTCATGATCTCAGCTCATTTGAGCATTTTATCAAACACTAAGTGTGCAAATTTAACTACAAGGTTCTTCTACAAGATTTCCTTCGCTCCACAACCCAATATTTACTTATTTGAGCTCAACAATCTTCCCACAAACCTTACTAGTACAAGCATGTATAAATAATATTCTTATACCCAAGAATCATACTCCAAATCAACCATTATTTACCCAAATTCGAAATTAAAAACTAGGGTATGGAACCTTACCTCTTAGTTGAAGATCTTGTGAGATTTCCTTATTGGATTTCAAAGATTGGGCAAGATCTTGATAAATAAAATACTTCATCTACTTTATCTCTCTAGAACACTCTCACTTCTCTCTAAAAAAAACCTCAGATAATTGCCCCAAAATAAGCCCCAAAGCCTATTTATCAAAATGAGATTGGGTTATGAAAATAAAAAAATTAACCCTCCGAAATCAGGTCTGCGGTCGCATAATGAACCGCAGAATGGCTATGCGGGTCGCAAAATGCACCGCAAAATCGGTGCCAAAAAATGAGTTGTACTAGTCCATTATGCGACCAGTTTTGCGGTCGCAGAAGCACTTTCGCGATCGCATAATTATTCTGTGATCGCAAAATTGGTCGCAAAATCGCATTTTTCCAGTCTTTTGTAATTTGGTCATAACTTCTTGTAGGAATGTCCAAGTGACGAACGGTTTGAAGCATTAGAAACTTGACACATAGACCTTTCCTTTGATAGGTATTACACTATATAACTCTTCATATCAGGAGAGGTATGCTCATTTGAAGTTAGGTCTTGTGCTAGCTCACTTGAAACTTTATCCCATCATAAAATGTTTAACTTGACTTAGCCTTGGGGCTCTTCTTAGACCATAAACCATTCTTAATGACGTCATACATATATTATCCGGGAGTGCACCTAGGCGCGCATACTGTGCATTGCTCAGTAAAACGCACATAACATTTTGCATAGAGATATGTTAGGTCTTCACAATATATCGTTGGAAAGCTAATTCAAAGATCTGCAATTTTTTTGTTTTGGGTTTTCCCAAATTCCTTACACATTTTCACTACATCCTGATAAAAGACATACCTTTTGTAAACTTAGTCGATTTTATCGAATCTTATACACCTCACTCTCCGTCTTGATTCTAAAATAACTATTTCCACTCATACTCATACCGATGGAACTTCACATGTCCAAAATAAAACATTACTACTCATTTAACACATTCATACCTAAGCCGAATTTATGGGTTGTTACAGATCATCAAAGAATAATAAATTAGAGAAATATAGCAATTCTACCTTCATGCTTTCACAAAACCTTCAAAAAGGGTTAGCCATAGAGGTGAAATTGGTAGAATTTACTATTTATGTGGTATTATTCACGTGCAGATCACGTGATAACAATATTAGTAGTCGATGTCTTGGCGCCAGCGGAGAATGAAGTTAGTTATTTTTAGGAAATTGGAATCCGAAACCAACTCTTTGTCTTCCATTATATTTCTTCTCTATCATCATTTCCTCCAAAACCTTAATTCTTTGAGAATTATATGAATCTTGAAAAAGAAATGAAAAATTAGGAGGAGGATCAAGAAAGAAAAAAAAATAGAATTCGGGGTTCAGTTATTAGGCAAATTTAAAGCTACAAATGTTGTTCTAATTCAGGTACTTAATTCCCATATCAATATTTTCCTTTTCTTGCTTTTGGTCATTGTGGTTTGGCTTAATGCATTCATTTTTCTTTGTGCACACCTGACTAATTCCGCGGGTATCTGCTACCTCCCGTCAGTACAAGTATCGGAAACTCTGTCCACCAAGGTTTGGACAGATAAAAAAAAATCATCTTGTATTTTTACCTCCTTGGGATTTGACAAACATTATGTGTTAATCTTGACAATTATCTGTTTTCCTTGGTTTTCCCTTTAGGGAATTGCAATTTGAGGGGCTTTTTTCCGGGAGCTGCTTCGTGTGAGGTGGCTCCATCTGAAGATATTGTCAATACAAGGATGCTATATCAGGTAATATTTCTTGCTCATAGATTATCATTTAGCTGCTGATTTTCATTCTAAGTGACTTTGGAAACTCAATTTTTATTGCACACAAGGAAAATGTTATTGTATATTAACAGTTAGCAAAAAAGGGGACTTTTATGGAGTGCATAGTTCTTATTAAAAAAGTCCTGGATATTATAATATTCTAATATAAAAGGTATGTATGTGGGTGGGAAGGGGGATATATTATCATGCTAAAATATCCATCTTTCCTTCATATTTGCTAATTCTGGCATCCTTTGCTTCCTGGTGCTTCTTTTTCGGTCGATCTGTACTTTCAACTTTTGTCTATCCATGACTATGTGGAGAAATCTGGAAATGAAGAATGTCGACTATGGTAGATGGTGAATTGAAAACATATTAACAACAATTAACATTTAAATCTTGTTAAAGCCCTATTTTTGTGGATGAAATGCAATCCCACTTACTGAGTAAATATGCCATCTTTGTTCTCCAATCTCCATGTGCATTAATTCTATCAATTCTGCATTTAAAAGCCAGGTAATATATAGCTGAACCTGGCAAATGGTGGCCAATTTGAGATGCGAATTAGGAGTTAGATGTATATCTTTGTTTAAATTACTGCATGATAATGGTGTTTGTTATGAATGTTCCCTCTCTCAATAGCTCATCTTTATGTGTATCCCGGCCTGTTCTTTTGCATTAAATGGATTCGCTTTGTGCAGCCTAGTAAATGGTATTCTGAAGGTGATGTTTAATTGTATTTCGGTGATAGACTCGTAATTAAGTATGTAAGTGGAGGCAGTACCATCTTAGAACATATGCACCAGTAACTGGAAATAAAGTTGAGGCCCTTGCACCACCGACTTTAATCATGGATTCTGAGCAAGAGAGTGAAGGAAGAAGAGATTCAGATGCTACTTTAGATGAAAGCGAAATAGGGTCGTCTAAAAGTTCGGAATATTCTCAATCCATCTCGTCTTCGACATCAGGCTCTTCTTCAGATGATTACATCCAAGTGGATCCAAAAATAGTATTCAACTCTGTCCCATCGGGTGTAGCATCTTCTAAATCTCACTCCGATGCCAAACTTATATCTCAAAGTGATACGTGCCATCAATTGGAAGAATCCTCGAAAACTTCTACAAGTTCCACCTCACAGGTTTCAGATGTCACTCATGAATCTGCATTCCCGACCATGTCACCTACACAATCTCCTTCTATACAGGTGATGGAAAGGCAGGCAGTTTTTGATCCCAATAGAATTCCCTCTTCCGTTTTTGGGAGTAAGGATTCGTCCTCTAAGGAATGGAGCACTGCTTCTAACGAATCATTGTTCAGTATCCACACTGCTGGAAATGCTAGTCCTGCAAGGGATGATATTGTAATGACTGATGGAGATTTCAAACGGTCAAAGAAACGAGACAACTCATGTGCAGCATTAGATAAATATGAAGAAATTAATAAGTCTGGCGAGCCAACTAGGTTTAGGCAGCCCTTGCCAGCTGCAAAAGGAAGAGAATGTAAGGAAAAGATCCATGAGAAAGGAAGGAATGTAAATGCTGTAAACAACCTGTTAGCAGCAGGTTCAGATGAACCAACAAAGAGAGTAGTCCGTTTTAGAGAGGAAATAAAAGTAGGAGACATCAGAAATCATTCTGCTGTCGTTGGCCTCTCTGATGGAAATAAAGGCTTTAGGGACTCCTGCACTGCCGTTCGCCATTCTGATGGGAAGGGCACGTCTCCTGTCTTTCCAATGTGAGTAACAATTCTTCTTTTTTGGGTTTCTGTACAGAAGAATTTTTATCGCTAATTAATTGTTTAATGCATGCATTTAGTTCTTGGATTTACCCGAGTTAAACAAAGAGACAACCTGCTTATTTGTTCATTAATTAAGCACTTTACATTAATGTGTGAATATATAGATAGATACCATCTAAATTGTGAAAGTGTAAGAGTTCTTTCTTTGTCTTATCTCTAACTTACATGCTCATACATGGGCCATTAAAGACGATTTGAGAGTGTAAACCAAAAACTAAACCACATAAACACCTCTACTAACATAAAGTTGAAATATGCACTTGTGGTACTTTTAATACTATAACTTATACACAGAGGCGACATCGCTAATTGTATTTGGTAGCAGATGACAGAACAAGGATACAGACAAACAAGGTCCTGGATCATTTCAGATTGTCTGGAAAGATTTGACAGTAAGAATGCATCAGACCATATTTGTAACTGGATATCCGAGTTAAAGATTGCTAAAGATTAATGGATTACAAGCAAAACCTGATGACAAACTTGGCACGAGAAGAAGCTTAAAATGCATTATTAAATATGGACAATTAACTTAGCTTGGAAAGTATTATGCAATTTCCTATGAAAGAATCACTTTGCTTAACAAGCAAAATATCCATACTCTTCTGTACTACAAATCATCTCTCTTTAGTTTATTTACATGCTTCTATTTATTTTTGCTTTTCTATTTTCATTTATGGTATAAGAGACCTCAACCAAATAAAGTAGTTTTATTCAAAATAAGGAAACATAGGCGATCAGGTTTTGATGCAACCGGTTTTGGTCTAAATGAGTTGGCAATTGTAGGTTTCTTTGTTCACCTACTCTTTAATGTGTCATGGGATAGTATTTCAGTCCTCTTTGGGTACTATTTGAGTCTATGGGCATGTAAATGAAAGTTCCTACTTCCCCAATATTGTGTTTTTATCTTATATGGAAAGCACTCTCTCTATGCAGAAAAAAGAAGTCTTCTTGGTGGTCATGCTGTTGTTCTTGTAGTAGTGGTTCTTGCTGCTCAAGTTGGCCAAGCTGCTCGTTGAAGTGCTCAGGTTGCTCTTGTAACTGGTTAAGCTGCTCAGGTTGCTCTTGTAAGTGGCTAAGCTGCTCAGGTTTCTCCTTTAAGTGGCTAAGCTGTTCAAGTTTCTCTTGTAAGTGGCTAAGTTGCTCAGGTTGCTCTTGTAAGTGGCTAAGCTGCTCAGGTTTCTCCTTTAAGTGGCTAAGCTGTTCAAGTTTCTCTTGTAAGTGGCTAAGTTGCTCAGGTTGCTCTTGTAAGTGGCTAATCTGCTCAGGTTGCTCTTGTAAGTGGCCAAGCTGCTCGGGTTTCTCTTGTAAGTGGCTAAGCTGCTCAGGTTGTTCTTGTAAGTGGCCAAGCTGCTCAGGTTGCTCTTGTAAGTGGCCAAGCTGCGCAGTTTGCTCTTGTAAGTGGCCAAGCATGCCTGTCGGCTGCTGCAAATGGCCATGCAGCCATGGTGGTTGCTGCAAATGGCCGAGCTGCCAATGCAAGTGTTTAACCTCGCTACGCTGCTGCTCCTAGTGTCCAACTTCTCGTAGCAACTGCAAGTGCCTGACATGGCAAAGCTCTGTGTGCAACTTTTCTGCACTGTAGCTGGGCGTTCTGCTTTGTGGGACTATAAATTATTTGATCTTGCCAGGTATGCCCCTCTCTCTCTCTCTCTCTCTCTCTCTCTCTCTCTCTCTCTCTCTCTCTCTCTCTCTCTCTCTCTCTCTCTCAATTATATGATAAGTTGGTCTACTTTTATTGAAAATTTCTACTTTTGTTTCATGATATTGACATGTACTCGTATGTAATACATTCTAAAGAATCTTTCAGTTATGGTCATTGTAGAGACTTGATAGAGTAATTCTTTTCATCTATGCAGTTTGACGGAAGAGGAACAATGTATGTGAAAAGGATAGCCTGAGCACCAGCATACCCATTGAGCTCTGTAGTTGCTTCTAAGGAGCATTCCAAAAGCTATTGTGCCTGCCTTTGTTCTTACGGTTGATGCCCTTCTTGTAATTCTTGCCATCCCAACTCTAGCTGTTTCCTAGGACGTGAAGGCCTAATTCCATTTCGGCCCTCCTCCTACTTCTGCCTCGTTCATTAAAAATGCTTGCCACCCACATGCATAGGTTCCGTAGAATCAAGAGAATTTAGAAGTTTAAGTAGCATAATGTTATCAGCAGCAACAAGCTTGGCAAAATTGTGGAGATTCATAGTAGCTAATCTATTCAAGCATTGAACAATGTCCAATATCTTGAATTCTTTTAGTGTAAATAAGTAGGCAGTGGAGCTTAGATATATATATTTGTTGCCTCACATTACTAAGTCCATTATTGTGCAACCATTTCTTTCCTTTTTTAAGATGGGAGAAGAAAAGGTGGGAAGAGAGAATATGATGGAGGTAGTGTCGGTGGCGTAGCCACATATAATGAAGGTGGTCAAGTGAACACCTTTCATTGGAGAATTATATTGTGCATATAGAAAATTATACTACATTTATAGGTTAAAACTATTTTTTACATATGCATATTAAAGCTTGAATACCCTTAGCGAAATTCTTGGCTTCGTCTCTCGGTAATGTGTCTTTGGATATTATTTGGGGCAAAATTGGGATGTTACATTAGTGTTTTGCTATATAGATCTACGGGTGTGTATGGATGATATATTTTTCAACCTTTTTTATCTTTGGTTGGCCAAAATATTTTTGAAAAATAAGTTCCTTAAAAATTAGGATAATGACTACCCTAATGAAAGTAGGCACTACTATAAATCCGGTAAAAATCGATCAAAAAAACCAATCAACTTTGGTCGGTAATGGCCAATAACCGTCAAAAATGCGACCATTTACGTGTGGACGGTATTTTAGAGGTCGGAAAGGCATACCGACCAAAGTTGGTCGGAAATTACCGACCAACTTTGGTCGGTCAATTAAATTCAAAAAACAAACCGACCAAAGTTGGTCGATTTTTTAATTATGTAATCAAAAGATTCACCATCTGGGAATCGAACCGGGGTCTGTACTGTGGCAGGATACTATTCTACCACTAGACCATTGGTGCATTTTGTTTTAAGACTGTCTTTTATTTTATTTATACTCTTTAATTATATTTTCTCACGAAAATAACCGATCAAAGTTGGTCGGTTTTATTAAAAAATAAAATTACCGACCAAAGTTGGTCGATTTTTTAAAATGACCGGCCGAATTAACCGACCAATTTTGGTCAGTTTTTTTAATATTATTTTTTATTTATTTTAATTGAAAAACCGACCAAAGTTGGTCGGTTTCTTGAAAAATAAATTTCGCGGGACTCAAAAATAGTTTCCCCCATTTTTGCGCCAAAGAAAACCGACCAAAGTTGGTCGGTTTCGTAAAACAAAATTAAAAAATAAAATATTTTGAAAAACCGACCAACTTTGGTCGGTCTTTTGATTGGTCGACCTTGGTCGGTTTTTGCCGAATTCTAATAGTGAGGGGAAAACAATTCCATAAGTGGCATTCCACGCCCTTCAACACCCCCACCATCAAGCCCACCCCCTCAACCCCACATACCCTCACCCCCTCGACCTTAGTCTCATGCCACCTTGCCATCCACGAGGCCATGACCACCACCCTAACCGCCCACCTCTCACATACATACATCAAGTTTATTTTAGTAGGAAAAAAGAAAATTGAAAAAAAAAGTTTATTTTAGTAGCAAGTGTATTTGAAGGCCTAGCATGCTGGTTTCCTACTTAAGTATAGTTAGAGCTGTCAAAACGGGCCAACCCAGCCTAAGCAAAGCCTCGTGGGCTTTTAAATTTAGTGGGCTAGGGCGGGCTGGCCCGTCACATGAATGGGCCTTGAAATAGCTAGCCCAACCTAGCCCTAAGAGGACCGCGCGGGCTAGGGCTGGTCGGCCTTTCAAATTTTTTTAGAAAAAAGAATTTCTTTAAATCCTTAAATATTTTTTCGTGACATAGTCGATTAATTATGTAAATAACTTATGTTTCCTTAGAACGTACAAAAAACTTGATATTTGACGAGTAATCTCGTAATTGAAATGCAAATTCTCTATATCTCTAGCTCTTCTTTTTTAAAATTACATGAATATTTTCTTAATACTTTTCTTTCATTTTCCTTAGATTCAGGGATTGTTTCAATAAGTTTATATGCTGAGGTTTTTTAATTTAGGATTAAAATTATTTGATGATTTTATCATTATAAAATTTTAAAATTTCTGAAATTTATTAATGGTCAATTTATTTTTGTGTATTTAAAATTGATTTTTTTCTATACTGAAGAGCAGTTTAAATATTAATAATATATTAAAATAATCCAAACTGATCATTGGCCGCTTAAAGTAATATTTTCTTTTGATAAAAGATTATTATTGGCCACCTAAAAGTTTTCGAGTTCGTTATTAATTAAGCAAAAGAAAAACTAATTTTGTCATATTACATGCATGTCCAAAATCTAAATTCTAGTTGATATGGAAGAGTAAATGAGCGGTCTAGGGTTGGGGAATGAGGATTATAGTTAATAGTTTTTTTAATTTTTTCTTTTTGTAGATATTAAATATTTTATAGTTAATTAATTTAAATTTAATTAATTTTTGGCCCACGGGCCGATCCAGGCCCAGTAGCGGGCTAAATTAGACTAGCCTCACAGGCCAAACACATTTTGACGGCTCTGCTTATAGCATGAAACACTTTCTGCGTCCAACTTTTAAGATTCTGTGTCCATTTAACACCGTTGTAAAAATGACATAAGAAAAGCAGTGTGTTTTTAACTACAACTGCAGCTAAACGTGAGGAGTGGATAACAATGGAATTAATTTTTATCTTGTCACATTAAGTAAAAGATATCAAAACCTCATGATTAGTTATAATTTTGAAATAATCATGTCTATCTCTCTATGATATCACAACGAGATATCTCGTTGTTGTTGTATCTCTCTATGATATTATACGAATTTATTTTGGCAATATTTTCCTCCTAATCTTAAACTCTATGTAAATTAAACACCGTCATGTGAAATGGTACAAGAAAAGTATTTTGATTTTTCCTTAAAATAACTGTTTTTTTTTGTCAAATTAAGTAACGAATATTAAATCACATGATTCCATTATAGTTTTGAAATACTCGTGTCTATCTCTCGATGATATGACAAGAATTTATTTTGGCATCATTTTCCTCCCATCTTAAACTCTACGTCAATTAAATACCGTCATATGAAATGATACAAGAAATGTATTTTGGTTCTTCCAGTAGTAAAATAGAACGAATGAATATTAACGTTGAAATAAGTTTTTATCTTATCAGATTAAGTAGCAAATATTAAACCATCAAATTTAGTTATTGCTTTAAAAATACTCCTAACTATTTTTATGATAATATGTTGAAAATTTATTTTGGCAACATTTTCCTTCCAATCTTAAAATCTACGTACGGACTAAACATCGTCTTTCATAAATAGAAATTGAACACCGTTCATCGAAAAAATATACTGTGTATATATAGAAACTTATATTATGTATATAGGTAAAAATTATTTTTTATATGTGTATATTAAATCTTAAACACACTTCGCGAAATTTCTAGATTCACCCCGACTGTCTAGCACTAAAATAAGATTTTATCTTCTCAGATTAAGTAACAAGTATTACAACACATGATTTTGTCATAATTTTGAAGTATCTGTACCAAATGATTTAGTTATAGTTTTGAAATGCTATCTCTCCAATGAAATGACAAGGATTCATTTTGACAATATTTTAGTCATAATCTTAAACTCTATGTCAATTGTACATTGTCATAAAATGACAGAGACAAATATTTTGTTTTTTTCCCACCCGTGCAATAAAACGTGAGGAGTAGTTAGCACTTAATTAAGTTTTCCTCTTTTCCAGATTAGGTTGCAAATATTAAACACACAATCTAGTTACAGTTTTGAACTAGATTACGAGAATTTATTATGACAACATCTCTTAATCTTTTTTTTAAAGGTGTGAGGTTGGCAATCTCATCCCATTTTATAAAAATCGTTACTTTTTTAATGAGCAGATAACTATCACACTAATAATTCTGACCATTTTTATCTCACAATTTTTATTTTTATTTTTTATAGTTTTTATCTCAATTAATTACTACTACTAGTTAGTTTCTCAGTAGCATATTTGGAGAATATACCTTTTGTTGCAATAAATTCATTTTTCCTAAAAATTTCGACTCTAAAAAACAGCAAAGCCTATTTTCTCATTTTTTCTGTAATTATTTGTTTCGAAAATATGGTTAAAACGACACCGTTGTATGTGGAGTACTTATACTTAAAAAGAATGCAATCGTTGGTCGTATCAACTGTTATTCCACGTGGGACTTACAGATTTTGCCACTTGGCGAGCCGCTCAAATAATTTCGAATTTGTTTCTCCTTTTTCATTTTTCCTTTTTTCTGTGTGTGAACTTGATATTTGTTTTTAAAAAAAAGATCAAGAGAGCGACAGTGGGACCTACAGAGCCTTCTAAGTCCACCTGGGGACCCACTGAAGATCTTACTACAGTATAAATAACACATGTTGTTTGAATAACTAATGTGTTCAATAAAACAAGCTCACTGTAGCAACTCCCTTGAGAAATTAGTCACACAACTCCGTAGTAGAAGAAGACTACTACTTAGTCTTTCTTCATCTATTTTCTTAGTTGCATAAACAGACAATCTCTTTTTTTGGTTTGTTTTTGAAGTGAAGAAAGATAATTTTCTTCATTTCTTTTGCTTTCATCGTTCATCCTTTTGCCATTTTTCAAATTCAAGAATCATTTTTATTTTGCTTTTAATAAAGCACCAAGAATTGGTTCTTTGAATCTGAATTTGAAAACCGACTTCCTTTTTGGCTTCTGGGGCTGTGTTCTTGGCAATGAAAAGTGACAAAATGCAGTTGGGCAGAAAGAAGAAACTTGGGATTCTGTTTTCAAGAACCATGAATTTGTTCTTGATAATGGCATTTGTTTTCTCTTGCTTTTCCTTTTCAGCTTCTGAAGAGGTGGTTTATGAGAAAATGGCTTTGTTGGAGTTGAAGAAATCACTTGGTGATTCCTCTGGCATTCTATCAAGCTGGAAAGCAGACAATTCTAGCTACTGTTCTTGGTATGGAGTGTCATGCAACTCAAATTCCAGGGTTTCAGAATTGAGAATAAGAGGTAATAATACTAATGCTGCTTCTTGTACTAGTAATCCTGAGTTAGCATTGCATGGCTTTGGCATTAGAAGAAACAGTTGCTTTCATATGAATGTTAAACTTGTTGGGAATTTGTCTTCTGTTATTGGATACCTCAAAGATCTTAGGGTTCTA